GCAAATCCAAGAGAAATCTGATTTCAAGAAGATATATACGGTGGTGAAACTGAAATCACTCGAATTTTGAAATTACCAATTAAGGTGTCAAAAAGTATGCAACAAAAATTTGCACAGTATACATTTACATTCATTAATGATTTCAAAGGCCAAGTGATTTCTTTGGCACCCCAACCTAATCAACCCTTTGCCCGACTATCATTCAAAATAAACTAATTGGCAGCCAATAACTGTATAAATGTATAAATCTTCAAGTCAATTTCCTAGTTTATATTACATTTTATACGAGACAAAGGGCAAACACATTTGACATAAAGCTAAGAAAGCCTTTTGTGCACTTTACAGATGCCTAATATTTTATTCAATGCGAATATCCACCGTGACACGGCTTCTTTTCGCATAGTTTTCTCTGTTTAATACTGCACATGTATGTATGTTTGAATTCCCATACGAATCTTTTAAGAAACTGAAGAATAATTGCCGCAATTTATTAGGAGTATTTCTTAAATGCCATATCAAGTATCCCAAAGGGCATACATATAGCGCTCGCAATCGGGGCGATGCCTCACGTAAGCCCTAATCTCGCAAGTATAAAGCCAAGGACTTTAGCACTTAAGACAAATTCAAACAAAAACACCACATACACATCCAGCCAGACATAATCACTGGGGCCCACGTGCTAGGCAAATTAATTCGGATTCTGTCGGTGAATTTGCCCCAAAACGAAAAAACAGAGACTGGGGAAAACCTCAAAAATATCTCTGCTGCTCAGACAATATACCGAGATGGAGACTTTTTTTGGGACGAGCGTTGACAGCAGAAATTTAACGCTTGAAATGCCAAACACACAAATATTTTGACATTCAAAGCACAGATCCTAATACACATGAATATGTACACAGATGTGTTGTGTCCTTGCTCGGTTCTCCGTTCTCCGTTCTCTTGGCGTGGCAAATTTTCCATGAAAATTGCATGAATTGCAGATTTTTGTTGCCCCATTCTTTTTCCATACGCACGAAATGCGCTCCGGCCGTTGGGATGGGACTGGGACTGCGACTGGAACTGGAACTGGGACCCCGACCTCCGACCGGAGTCAAGTTGCGTGTGCCGTAGACATTTTTATGGCATGCAGCGAACTGCCAGATGGCAGCTGCCGCTTGGCACTTGCCGCAAAATAGGAAAATGCTTTACAATATAATAGAATTTGCTAGAAACGTGACTTTAACAAGCTCTTAGACATGTAAATACATAAACACACAAGTGCACACACTGGCTGTCAAACACCAGCGAGCAGGAATGACTTAATATACTGCAACGCTGATATGTGGACAATGTGGCGTATGCGTGATATGCCAAGCAGGGAACGAGAAGACCGAAGAACGAGCAGCAAGCACAGAAGAAGAAAAGGCAGCAGTGCAGAAATGCGGCGACCACAGCTCAATTAGTTTTCCATTTTTGAGGGGCGGGCATGCAGGGCGTATGATTAATGTGGTTTCTATTCAAATGCGCCCGAAAGTATGCTACAATGGAGTGCCTGACACTTGTGGCATTTTCATGTGGCAGCATCAAGATTACGAGTAATGTTCGTTCTTGCAGCTCCTGGAATGCAGCCAACTGGCGAAACTTGCAAACTAGCAAAACCCTTCGCTCAACAGATACTCGACTGTGGTCCTGCCAACAAATTGCGGCATTCCCCGATCACAGATAGCCAGCAAATTGCATTGCATTCCAATTACTTTGCTGGGCCAGGTAATCCGGCTAATTGCCAGCCCACATCTCATGCATCCGTCCGTTGGCAACTTATTCGGCAAGTGGCCGCATCTCGATGCAAAAGTTGGAGCTTAGATTCAATTAGAGAGCCAGTTCGGTCCGGTAGTTGTCGGAATTTTAATTAACTAAACACTGGATAAGGATCAAATCGAGTTGGCCCCGAATCACTCTGGCGCACTTCACACCCGCAAACGACGCCCCAAGGAGGCATTCAGATACCGGATTTAAATCATCAATTTTTCATCTCACTCGACTGCATAAATCAACCCAACTGGCTGCCAACCTGCCACGTGCCATATGCCTTTTCCCAAAACAACTGCCATTGTAACAGGCACGTTAACTTGGCCCATTGTCTGCGCGACAGTTGTCGTCCTTTGTTTTTAATGTCCGACAGTCGAAGGCAGTAAAATTTAATGCCAGCTCCTCGCGACTTCTGCTGTAACCTGCTACCAGAACCAAAGACAATTGCGTGACGCGGAGCATTATGGCCACAACCTGGATTTGACTTTTGGCCAAGAGTACGTTAGTTATAAGACAACCCCTGCTATTTGCTATTTGCTTTTCCTCGACGAGATTTATGCCCTGCTAGCGCTTGATAAATGACTGGGAAAATTTATAAGTGGGCTTTACTTTTTGTCAACTCGAATCCGAAATGCTAGCTGGCTATAAATTCACAGTTCGCTGCTGCTCTGTCATTTTCTCGGCGGCTGTGGCTCATTAAAATGCCAAATTAGTCCAGGAAATTAGTGAAATTCTAGATAATTTCGGTAATTGTAATTGTCGGTGGACAGAGTCAGGCCAACAGACCAAAATTAAATGTAGTGACCAACTGGAGAACTAATTAAATACAAAACAAGAGAAGAACAAGCTATAGTCGGAAAGAATTAAGTTGTCCCGACTATGCTTAAAAATACCCGTCACTCAGCTAAAGAGGAGTGAAAACGCTGTGTCGGGTTGGTGTCCCGACTAATAACTCGTAACTCAGCTAAAGGGAGTGCGAGGGAGATAGATATATAATTTTTGATTGCGTATAACTTTTTAATGAATGGTCCGATTTTAAAATGTCTTCTACATTTCGATAGGTATAAATATACACAACAAAATTGCATTTATACTTCTCGGAAATCTTTAAAGATGTGGGCGCAGGACCCATTTTAAAATCGTTAGTGGGCGATTGTGGGCGTTAGAGGGGGCTGGCGCTCGGCTAAAATAAACTATGCGCTGCGTAGGAAGCCAAAGAATATGTGTGGGAAATCTCAACCTTTTAGCTTTTGTAGTTTCTGAGATCTCAGCGTTCATACAGACGGACAGACAGACAGACGGACAGACGGACAGACGAACAGACGGACAGACGGACATGGCTAGATCGACTCGGCTAGTGACCCTGATCAAGAATATATATACTTTATGGGGTCGGAAACGCTTCCTTCTAGCTGTTACATACTTTTGCACGAATCTAGTATACCCTTTTACTCTACGAGTAACGGGTATAATAAGATAAGATAATAAGCCAAAAAACAGACATAGAATTAAGTTCTAGCCACCGTGTTGCCTTAAAAATAAATAAATCACAGAAAGAGCAACAATTAAAATGGCAATCAGCCGCAGACACACACTTACAGAACTCATTAGCTTTTATTAATCGAATTAACTGCATATTCAGCCTGGCGATATATTGTTGCTAAGTCCTTTATCCAAACAATTACCGACTGGCCAATAAATAAGCCGCAGAAACACATGCAAAGCAGATAATCGGGGGAGACTCATCCATAAACAGTCAGATTAAGCCCTTCAACGTCACCGCATGTACATGTGCATTAAAAATTAATTACATTTTAAATGGCAAAAAGATTTAATTTTTGCCGCCCGTCCAGCGGGCGGTTGGGTACTTTGCGCCTATCTCCTAGCCCATGGCACTTAATTGAAAAGTAAAAATAAATGTCATTACTGTAATTCATTTGGGATGGAATGCGATTTAGGGTGCTTTGCAATTTTTCAGCACTTGGCCAGCATCGTTGAGATTTTAATTGAATTGTTGGGATCAATACACCCACGCACCAAAGCTGCTCACATGGAAATGCTGTAAATTTGTTGCGGTCAATTTTGCGTGTTAATGCCAGTAAAAACCGAAAATTGTTTGCCACTACAACATGGATCTCTCCCGCATTTCCCCATCTCCTTCCATATTTTTCTCCACCGCTCTTTCTAAAATTGAGCCGCAGTCGGTAAACGAACCGCAGCAGCCAAGTGTCGAAATTTTGCATCCAATTAAAATGTTTGCTCCAACACATGAACCAACACGAGCTTTTACTTTCATGACCAGAATGAAGTGCGCCGCACTCGTTTGGATGCCACTAACCAAAAACTGCAATTAGGTAGTTAGTTCGTGTCAAAATAATAAATTTATATTGGTTCCATATCAAATTCAACCCAGACAGAAACTCACATTTCTCGGAAGTTTCTTAAAAATACAATAAAATTCAATTTCTTGGAAAATAAGTAATGGGTTTTTATTATCTTTCGTTAATCTGTCTAAAAGGAAGGTATTATAAAAAATTATTTATTGATTTTGAGTTCTATTCTGAACGATTCCCCAAATAACAACGATTACATTCTAATCAGTTATAGCAAAGGGCAATCCCAATTCGAAAATAGGCCTATAAAAAGTACAGAGATATTGATTTGAGCAATAACAATAGCTGGCATGTACTATTTTTACCTCATTTCTTATCACTGGGCATTGATAATTACTTGCACCTTTTCATTCATAGGGCATGCAAACGATAAAGATAATCAGAAATTCCTGCTAAAATGCATCACAAAAAGATAAAAATGATGTCTGAGCATGTTCAGATAATATACATAATTTCTGATGTAATAGATAGATGATTATAGATAGAAAAACGTAACAGAAAATTTCCAGGAAACCCATTAAAAATAAAAGGTATCAATTTTAAAATGAATCATAATTTAACAAATTTGTTTTCTCAGAACTTTGTGTGAAAGTTCATTGTCTGGACTTAAGATTTGCAAGTCATAAAACAAACAATAAAAAGACTTCAACCACTTAAATTATTATATCTAAAATAATAATGCTTATGTCACAGACTCTTGTAAAGAAACACACAAAAGCACGTCCACATGTTTCATCGAAGAAGCGCTTTACCTTTACGCATAAGTACGATGCGCAGGCGAACCCATAATAACTTAATTTTCATATTTTCACTTACCTTGGCTTATGTCAAGTCTAATGGCCAACTCCCCGAAACACCTCTTGAGTAGTTATTTTGGTTTTTCGTGTGTTGTTTTCGTTTTCGAGTTATTTCTTTCTTTGTTTTTATTCCGTATGCGAACGCCTGAGACGCCTCTGGGCAAAAAGAGCTGCTCAGTGAGCTTTTGGCGTTCGCGGTGAGCGGTTCGCTTGTATACTTCAGCGGAATTCAATTGTTCACCAACGCAGAGTGACTGCAAAATAGATAGAAAATCAAATTTTAATAAATAGAGACAGACTTGTGTCCGCGAGAGTGATTCTTTAAAGGAAAACAAAACCGAAAATGATAAAAGTGGCGGAACACCTGAGAACACATTCCTGAACAAAAGATAAAAGCCGGCCGAAAGTGGAGCGAAAGTAATAAAATACAAAACCTACTTTTTTGTGTGATCTTAAGGAATCCCTAAGATAAAAAGCGCGTTTATTGAGTCTATCATAAAAGTCGCGTGCTTAACCTACAATCAACAAGATATGATCGGGCCATATAACTAGTATCCACAGATCTCGTGACGTTGACATTTGGTGAATTTAGCCGAAAACGTTTTTAAAAAAACCTGTTGAGTAGTGGGAAAGAAATTACTTCCAGATGAGGTTTTTTCAATTCGTTGCGAAACCCTTTCATTCACTCTATCTTTATTGACACCCTAAAGATACTTATTGCATGTCTGCAAACTTTATGGTTCCCCATTCGCCAGATAAGTGGGGAAGTAAGCGAAAAAGATACTTTTGCGAGAGTGAATCTGGGCGCCATAATTTAGTTATTCAATTCAACATTATATCAGTGTGTCACACTTTTTTATGCAATAAATTAAAGCCAAAGCGAAACAGTCAAAGCGTTTAGACAAAGAGCTGTCAGCGCCGAGAAAGCGCCTCGGGTGCAATTAAATAATTGACTCTTGCCAATATAAAATAATAAAAACTCATTTAGAACGTGTGGCGCTGGCAGGCTTTATGGCACCACCAAACCAGCAAAACCCCCCACCACCACCCCCCAAAAAAAGGCGGCGAACGTGCTATCGAGTTTTGTGGCGCGTACTTCACGCTTTGTTTTGTTTTGTTTGGGCCAAGCTGGCGAATAATTGCACCTCGCAAGTTCCTCTGACATTTTCGAGTCGAGCCAGGTTGCAAGTTGCATTGTGCAAATTTACTTTCCATTATTGCAGCGAGAACAATCGGTGAAGCAGCTGCGCATGCGCAACACTCAAAACAGCAAGACACGATCTAGAGACATCCAAAAAGTAAACAAACCTCGTTGTCCATTCGAAAGGGTCGATGTGTTGATACCCAGCTATTTTAAGAGATCCAAAAGAGTTTTCTTTATAAAAGAAAGAATAGTGAAGAACTGAGTTTCCAAAATCTTATCTTAATCATCAATCCCTCCAAAAGTATAATGTTCCCCTGTGAGTCATACAATATCCATATCATTCGGTTATGAAAGCTGCCGGTAACAGCTTGTTAACCCGTTTTTTGTTTTCTACGATAACAAGGCCAATGTCTTGCTTTGTCAACTGGTTTTTAATCAGGAAGAGGATAGTGCAACTTGTGGGTCAATCATTTCCACTTTCAATGTTGCACACCTATAAAAAGTGCATTTAGCCGCCTTGTTGAGAAATTCTATTTATAAAGTAACTAAATTTGGGAATTATTTATGAGAAAGTTTTGAGGCTGCGAAATGCCTCCAGGGGGCAATAAATCAATCTGAAACTCGAGATATCAGGAAAGTGGCTGTGCCGTATCGGAAACGAATGATCAAACGAGAAACCCGAGGTGTTGTTATGAATGGTGCCCAAATGGCAAAAAGGCCCGCGGCAAAAAGCCAGACGCTTGGAGACCTTTCCCTGAAAAGGCCAGAAAACTGGTTTCGCCCTGAGGCCTGGCAGCCAAATTGCCAGCGTTTTAGCCTGCTGCACTTACCAGTTTGATGCAGTTTTGGCTGCATCAAGGCGGCAGTGGCAACAACCACTCTCCATTGTTATGTAATGCGTAATCGTCTAAGTCAGTGGGTCAGTGACTCTTGCCTTTGTCTCTGTCTTTTGCCCCACTGGACCGGTAAGCGATCACTGTCCATAATTGGTGCCTCAAAACTTGACCACCACTAAATGTAACCTTAAGTTACGGCGATTTAAGTTGAAGGTTGGTGTAACCACATTTCTGATTGATTTGCAGCTGCAACATGGAGACCGCAATGAACAACAACAACAATAATAACAACAACAATGGGTACATGAACCAGGCGTTTGTGGGCTCACTGAATGCCTCAAGCGTATCGATACCGGGGGCTTACAAGCCCAATGAGACTAGTTCGAATGGCAAGAAGGCGGTTCCCTTGTCCTCGGCAGGATCAGGAGCAGCGCCAGGATCCGGAGACAACCAGCCCGCAGTGGAGGAGGGTCAGCCGGAAAAACAGCGGGCCAGTTGGAACAACGACATCGAGTTCCTCATGTCCTGCATCGCACTCAGTGTGGGTCTCGGCAACGTCTGGCGATTTCCCTTCACCGCCCTGGAGAATGGCGGTGGAGCCTTCGTTATCCCCTACCTGATCGTCCTGGTTCTGGTGGGCAAACCCGTGTACTACCTGGAAATGCTGCTCGGCCAGTTCTCCAGTCGCGGAAGTGTCAAGGTCTACGACTTCTCGCCCATCATGAGAGGTAAGTTTGTGCTTGCATTTTAAAGTTATAAAAAATGGACGAAACCGTCTCCCTCACTGCGTTTAAAACTTCTGACTGCAATTATAGTACCCTCTGCAAGGGAATAAAAGACAGTAACTTTGTTGGTGGGGTCTTCAATATTTTATGGTAGCTTTCTGTTCATATCAAATAAAAACACCTCTTAACGAGGTAAAAAACTAGTGACGATCGCACCTTCAACATACAAAAGTTCTGATATCAACATTTGTGACGAAAAATTATTACACTCGTCATTAAATAGACTTTCTAATCTTTTCTCATTCCGCCCGCCCTAGCAGACTATTCCAGCCTTTTTCCCTTCACAGGCATTTTCTATTGCAGCGTGCCGAATAAAAAAATATTAGAAAGTCTATTTAATGACGAGTGTAATAATTTTTCGTCACAAATGTTGATATCAGAACTTTTGTTTTTCCGAATTTTAGCTATTTATAGCTGTTTTTCCGCTAAACTAGCGAGTTTTTCCAAAAGTGGTAGAACAAAAGTTTTTTATATCGATGGGATGAACGTCATATTAAATTTTCAAAACTTAAGAAACATGTTTTGGATAAATTGACAAACTGACAAACTGACAAACAGAATTAAATTTTCATTTTGGGAAGAAGAAGGAAATCTTATTTTGGCTATAACTTTTGAACGGAGCGTCGGATTTTGACAAATGACCCCTCATTCGACGGGTATTTTCAAAAGGAATACAACTAAAACATTGCGAGGGGGCATTTATCCCCACCGGCCCCAACAGCTCCAAATTTCGAAATTTTCATTTTTTCACTTTCACCGCTCTCTCTCCCAAGCCAATTGATTTTCTTAAAGTCTTGGTATGCAATCCTTTAAGTTTTTGCAAAACCTTTCGATTGGTGTGTTACTCATTACGATCGGACTATCACAGCAGATTTTCAATTTTGCGGCTATATAATAGTAGTCGCCTTCGCACATTCTCCTGGTGCGCTTCGTCACTACATGGACTGCCGTCCATAGTGATTAGTCTTAATTCTGTCTACGTCGGTTTTTGTCACCCGCCTTTTTATCTCTTTATCGCATTTTAGGTTAAAAAGAAATACTCCTAAATTATCTAAAATTTCATGTGTTTTTTAAATTGATACGAATCGCAGTTACTTCTAAAGCTTGACTTAGTTAATCGAAGATCAATCAATAAGTTCGAGGCTTGTGGGGTCTCACCGATTCGAGATGCGAGTTATAAATGGCGTAATAAATCAGAGGCTAACTCTTATCTCATTTCGCCCCAGGCATTGGCTATGGCCAGGTGTTGGCCACGGGCATCGTGACCACCTACTACGCCACATTAATGGCCCTGACGCTGCGCTACTTCGTGGACTCCTTTTACCCGACGTTGCCGTGGAGCTACTGTCGGGCGGAGTGGGGCCCGGAATGCCTGGACTCGGGACCGCAGGAGGCCGCCAGCGGCGCCACAAGTTTGGCCAACACAGGTGTGCGCACCACCTCGGCGGAATTCTATTTCACGTGAGTGGGCAGCCAGCAGGTGTCCAGGATGTGGCATTCATGTTTGCTTCTACTTCCACCGTCCAGGAACATCGTTCTGCGCGAGAAAGCGAGCATCGACGACGGCATCGGGTATCCCAGCTGGAGCCTTTCGGTGGCACTGGCCGTGGCCTGGGTCATCATAGCCGGGATCATGTTCAAGGGGGTGAAGAGTTCCGGCAAGGCCTCCTACTTCCTGGCCCTCTTCCCCTACGTGGTCATGCTCATCCTCCTGGTGCGGGCCCTCAGTTTGCCCGGCGCCTTCGACGGGGTCCTGTACTTCCTGCGGCCGCAGTGGCACAAGCTCCTGGAGCCGCAGGTCTGGTACGCGGCCGTCACCCAGGTGTTCTTCTCGCTGGCCATCTGCTTCGGCAACATCATCATGTATGCCTCTTATAACCGCTTCGGCCACAACATCTACAGGTGAGTTGTTCGGTGTCCTGTCCAATCTTGGGTTACTTACCCCAGTGGCTGCTCCCCAGGGATGCCAACATCGTCACCACGCTGGACACCTTCACTTCCCTGCTGTCGGGCGTGATTATCTTCGGGATTCTGGGCAACCTGGCCTACGAGAACAACACCAGCGACATCTCGAGCGTGGTCAACGGAGGCCCGGGCCTGGCCTTCATCTCCTACCCCGATGCCATTGCCAAGTTCAAGGTGCTGCCGCAGCTCTTCTCCGTGCTCTTCTTCCTCATGCTCTTCGTCCTGGGCATCGGCAGCAATGTGGGCATGGCCTCGTGCCTGTCCACCGTGATCAAGGACCAGTTCGGCCACCTCAAGAACTGGACGATAGTGGTGGGCATAGCCATTGTGGGCTACTCCCTGGGCCTCCTGTACCTCACGCCCGGCGGGCAGTTCGTTCTCAACCTGCTGGACTTCTTTGGCGCCACCTTCGTGGCCCTGGTGCTGGCCATCTTCGAGCTGGTGGCCATTGCCTGGATCTACGGGGTGAAGCGCCTCTGCCGGGACGTGGAGTTCATGATTGGCATCAAGACCTCGCTCTACTACCGCATCTGCTGGGCGGTCATCACGCCGCTGATGATGCTCACCATTCTCATCTACACTCTGGTGCTGTACGAGCCGCTCAAGTACAAGGAGTACACCTACCAGTCGGGTGTTTATGGTGAGCAGGGGGATTAGCCCCACCCCTCGAATGTCCTGGCTAACGGAATCCCTTTCTTACAGTTTTCGGCTGGTGCCTCAGTGCCTTAGGCGTGGGCCAGGTGCTCTTCTGGGCTATTCCCGCCGTGCGAAGGCAGCCCTCGCACTTGGGTCTCTGGGCCCGCATCCGCAAGGCCTTTGAGCCACTGCCCAACTGGGGACCCGCCGACCCGCAGACCCTCAAGCGGTACCAACTTTACGTGCAGGAGGGCCGCGCCAACGCCCTCTTCCTGCGCAGCAGTATCTGGCACAAAATCTATGACAATATCTTTGGTTAGCATTGAATTAGCAATAAAACTATATACCATCTAATGCCGCCGACTCAGTCGCTTTACGAGGTCACGGGATCTGCTGCGACTACAGCAGAACCCTTTTTTAATAAAAATCAGTCCCTGCCCCGGGCTTAAGTGCTGAATTAAATGGCAGTTGGAGTTGCCCTCGGGGCGATCGTAAGACCTACATGTGCCATACCATCAGATATGTCGTAAATGAATTTGTAAAAAACCCTAAAGTTCAGAGAAGCTAGCCATTTTATTTATATTTATTAACTAGAAACTAAATTATTTAAAAGCAAGTAGAGCTTTTAAACCCAAATCCATTTGAATTATAGAGAGAAAGACGTAAACCTAGTTCATTATCGATTTTATGCCAAATTGTAAACTTTTTACCGAGCTTCCTGTATCTCAAAAGTACTTTTTTGTGTCGCCTCGGCATCTCTAGTGAGTGCTACCAACTGGAGCAACTATAAAAGACAAGACAATTGCAGCCCGCGGCATGGCTCCACCCATTTTGCCCCCCTTTTCGCAACCCTCGTGTGTGCTCGCATACTCGCACTGATTATGCCATAAAGGGTGGAAAGTTCTGATTTTATGATTGAAAGAAAAAGTTCCACGAATTGTGTCTCGGAGCGTGTGGGCTTACGCTTATGTGTGTGCTGTAAAACACTTCCGCGTAACATCGGGCGCAAAGTATTAAAGTAATTTGTAGAGAGCAAACAAGGGGATTCCAACCCTCTGCAGAGCTCTGACTGCCTGCTGTGGGATGTAGTCTTATAAATTAGTAAATGGAAGTAATAAATCAAGCGGAGGATCGTACTGTAGAATACCTACGGCTGTCACCTTAATGAAGACGTCTGCCGACTGGGACAGTGGGCGCTTTGTCCTGTTGGCGGCTGGGCGTACGTAATTGCACTGATAAAACGCATTTAAGCGGCATAAAGAGCCTCTCACTTACGCTGTCACGAACACACGGCGTATGCGCAACGCCGAACGGAAAGCCAATGCATTTCGAGTTATTTGTCAAGCCATTGTGCCATGTTAATGCGTTTTTAATGGCCAAACTTGAACATTCGCACACGGACAAACGCAGTGCGCTGTGCTCTTCGCTCAAGTGGTTGGCCGAGAGTCCGTCCAACTGTTCATTCAACTTAATTTCATTGTTTTCCTGCACAAGTCAAACATAATGAGACATTATGGCCGCGTCAACGGTTCGTATGCGTAATGGAAATTTATATAGCCAGAATGGTTGCGTTCCATCGATCCGATGCCACAGCGACCGTTATTGAATGTAAATGGAATTAATTTGTGTGTGAGCCAGTGATTTTACACAAAGGGGACAGTGAATTGCTTTTTAAAATATTCTTGTTGAGACAGCCACCAATAAAAGTGTTTATTTTTGATGAATGAGTGGGTGCATGAAAATCAATTAAACACAGTTCATGAATACCTAAGTTACATATCTCGATGAGCTCTGCATTTAAGGATAATTAAAACTGATATTATGGCGTGAGCTCCAGTTTGTAAAAATCCACTGAAGAATTTTGCCAACGCAATCACTTGATTTTAATTATGAATGAGAGGCTGGTCAATATCCATTAGCAATAAAAGTCTGAGCCGCTCTTATTCCGGTTGGTTTTAAAGCGGATACATTATGAATGAGCCAGTTAAAGTGCTTTAAATGTCTCAAGGCCCCTGCTAGGCATTTTCGGTGAGCTAAAACCCCTATCAAAGCCGGATGGAAAGCAAATATTTGGCTTTATTATAATTTACGTTTGTTATTGCAGGGATGCGATGATTTATGGCCACGTAATAACAACGCAAAATCATAGCCAAGCAGTTCGTTGTACGAGTATGGGCGAAATCACAACAAGGGCGGCGGAAACCCAAAAGGTGGGCGAATAAATCAGCCGACTGAAGTTGAGCGGCAGACGGCAAACAGAAAATGACAGCCCAGGTACGCTGGTACAGGCGTTCGGCTTTCACGCACATTTCCCCAAAGTAATCAACGCACTGGCCGCAGACAAAGGCTCGGGCTTGTGGATTCTCGTGTTTTCGGGAGGCGACAGATAGGATCCGGCGGAGGACGGCAGTCGCCACTTGTCGGAAGCGGAACGGCCCAAAATGGCTGCGATTTAATGGGCCAACAGCGGGTAGACTGCTACTTAGGCACACATTAACTTTTGGCCTTTTGTTGGCCAAGAACGCTTTGTCTGCCAACCCCGCGACCTGCTCTTATCTCGAGGCAATGACTTGACTAGACACAGCTGCCATTATTTCCCTTTGTTTATTTTGCCGGCCCGAAAATTTAAATTATTTAAATAAATTAGACCACATTCTTCGGCCCTCCGAACAGATTGCCAGTGATTTACTTTGAATGGCATTTAGCTGGATTTGTTTTGCACCTTTGGGTTCCTTCCGCCGAAGTGTCGGACCTGTCAGGGGATGCATGTCTCGTTGTTGTAAAAATGTACTGCCAAACTTTATAGGCCACAAGTGGCTACCGAATGTCCTGAATTTGTATTCAACGTAAGAATACCGACCCAAATGTCCTGTTTAGACAGATTATGTTAACCTTAATCCCTTTGCAATTGCTGGGAATTTACTAGTACTTTTTATTGCTTACATTTTAAATGAAAAAGTTTCGTTATAAAAAGGTAATCTTAATTTCAATTAATATGTCATCATCTTAAAACAATGGTTTTAATTGATTTATATTTTTAAAAGGTTATTTAATTTTATAAAAACTTTTGCATACCAGAGTGATAATAAATTACTTCCAATAAAATTTACATATATGTATGTATAAATTAATAGCTGACTACCTATATATTCAATTAAATAAATTTATTAAATTACTTCCAATAAAATTTACATATATGTATGTATAAATTAATAACTGACTACCTATATATTCAATTAAATAAATTAACCGAAACATAATAACAAATTTATATGTGAGTATAAAAAGTTAAACTTGAAAACTGCAGTTTTTTCGACGTTATCAATACTAATACGTTTTTAATTAGTAATGAAATGAATTGAAAACGGGACTGCTATTAATTGAAATCAGTCTATAACAAGAATACATTGCGTTCAATGAAATCTAATTAATTAAATTTTTGGCGACAACAAGTTGCAGCCATTTGTCGCGCTCGAGTGGAGCGGCAAAGTTACGGGCGGAAAAACAGACCGTAGACAGGCATTCCATCAAACGTTGCCTTGGCGAAGGACACGAAGGACTCGTGCACCTGAGCAGTTTGTTATGTCGATGGCCGACGATTCGAAGCCAGGATGTCAACTACATGCACACAAACATGCCGTTTGTATCTGGGTATCAGAACACCCAAAAAAAAACTTGATATGAAACGATGATCATTTTGATTTTGGTATCAATTTTGACTTGATATGCGGCATCTCATTTCGATATGCTCGAATTGTAAACAACATGTTCCATGTGGGCTCTATCGAGTTTTTAATGATTTTTAAGCACAATCTTGTTCTATTTCGAATTAAAGCATTTTTCTCTTCTCGCTCTAGCTTTTGTAATTTAAGTCACCTATTTGCTTCTTCCTCTCTTTTTTGAAGTCAGAGAATCTCTAAGAAAGAGAATTCGGCAAAATGATATTATTTAATATCCGTTTTACTAGTATTCAATGGTTAAATCGATAAGCGTATAAACACGAGAAATTCACCATGCACATATCGATTTGATCTCGGCGTGTTTTTTCGGTGTGTGTACTTTTACATACATATACGCGAATCTGTAGTTTTTGGCTTGCCATATTGTGTGTTTCATATTTATGACAGTCTGTCAATGGCAGGAGCCCCGGCAAAGAAGGCAAACAAATCATTCGGCAGACAATGTATAGATATGTACGGATACTTTCATGTCCTGGCTCGAGCATTTTTATTGTTCGCTTGAAGTGGCCGCTCTTCAGCTATCGATTGGCCATTTGACGTGGAGTGCCTTCGATTTTATTAGCTGTTTATAGTGCCAATTAAAGCATATAAGTTAAATACGAGAATCGCGTGCTCTAACATAGCATACTTTGTGGGGCGGAGAACTCTCTGAATGGGATTTGTTTATTGGTTTTCGGTTTTTGCCGGCTCTTTGCCGCTTTCCTGCTTTTAAGTTATTTATAATTATTTCAGCAAGCCACAAGCTCAAAAGCAGCCCAGAGAATGGAGAGACAGGCGGACAGAATGACAAAAACCTTGACAACTTTGCAGTTTTGCCAAAGTTTTATGATAAGTTTTTCATCACAAGTCGCCAGGCATGTCGTGCCAAGAAACCAAACAGACATTAGGCAAACGCAGTCGGGAAAGGGGAGGAGGGGAACGAGCAGGGCCATGCCAGTGCAAAAACCGACATCACAATGGCTGGCTGTCATCCCGGGCTGCACCATGGGTCAAAATGTGCCACCAACTGGCACGCCACGGGACACAAACTCCGGCTGCACGGGCATCCCGGCTATAGAATCCGGGTTCCAGCCACATGGACAGACCATTAAAATGCCAACTCATTTGCCAAGTTTCGGGAATGCTCCGTGGCCATGGCAACCACCTTTGGCACAATTAAAACGAAATACCTTTTTCTTAGACGATTTAATAAATTAAATGCAGCGATGGAATGTCGTTATGCTTAGAATAAATTTCTAAATATTTATTTTATCTCCCAATGTGCAGAATATTTATAGCTCAACAGAGAATATGTAAACTGTCTAATATTTTTTACTATTTATCGATATTTGATTTGTGTTTCCCCTCAAATTTTTAATGTCAAAATATCGAAAATATCGGTATTTTTTAAGCTGTATCTTGACTTACTCTTCTTATTGAAGTACAAACAATTAAGATTACGTGACATATTTAACTGATTTTGGCCATGCTTCGACCCAGCCTTTGATTAAAACCGATTTCCCACGCAATTATAAATATTTTTTTAAGAAAACCAACATATTTCCCCAGGACATATTTGCTTTTAATGACCGTGCGCCCACAGTGCCCGTGTCCACAGTCAGGAATCAGATGCGA